GCAGGAGTCCTATAGAAAATTAAAGACAACCTACATATCTTTAAATAAGTTTGGATTCAGATTTCCTTACCAACCTGTTCTGTTATCAGAACCTAGGGTATGGAGGAAAAATCTAGTTCTGCACCATTTCTCATTGCTGTCCTGTCTCCTGTGGCCTTGGAGAGGTAGATAAGGGACATGAAAAGCTTGTGAGTACTGCACTGTAAGTCAGCTAGTAGGTCCGAGACAGTGTAAGTAAAGATCCCAAACTGTAGACAAGTTGAGTTCACCAGCTACCTGATTTGTTGGCCTCAAATATTTCTTTACCAGAAGATTTTATTCATGATTTCACTAACAGCATTTCACTGAAGCAGAACTTGAAACTTTCTGTTTTCTCAGTACTTACAAGTTTGTCAGGCATTCCACAAACCTTCTTCTTCAGTTGTGAGATCTTGAACGGTACAGAGTATGTAGGCAATATCTTGTTATATTAATGTAGATGGCTAATACCTATCAATCTCTGAAGTTCTGATGGGATGATAATAGATGACCTGCACTGAAGAAGACTGGCCTATCTCTTCAGTTGGTTTCAGTAATTTTTTTCCCCCCCAGTGAGATGTCCTACTTCTCATTATATCTTGCAGCTAGAATATTTTTTACATTGTATCTTTTGACCAAAATCAGAGTTAAATTACACATCACAACATCAGTTGCCTGCAATCATCTTTAGCCATAATTTGGTTCGTACACAGAAGCTGAAGATGCAATTTTGATATTTTGAAAGAAAATAATTTCACCTAAATTATTTAAGAGACCTTTACACCTACCTGCAGCAGAGAAGTTTGTTTTTAATGCTGTGAATGCCTATTGCTCATAGCACACAGGGTTATCTGGTGCCAACCTCTCTGCAGTTTCAAAAGTTTCCGGATTGTTGAAATATAATTACAGTTTAAGTGAAGATTGGAATGGAACTTTGAATTTGCTGTTTTATTAATTTCTACAGTCCACAGACCTTGAGCCAGGAACACTGCTGGCCATGCTGTAAGCCCAGGAGTGAATCTCTTTTTGTATATTGGTATCCACCAACATACTTTCCCAGGCTTCATGCTAGTTCCTTGCCAAAACATTGTAATTGCACTGGTGATTTCAATTCTTAGTTTTTGGGTAAATATGCTTCTTAAACAGTCTGACAATGTCCTTATTGACCAAGAATACAATTTGACGCTTCCCTCTTGCCCCCCACACCTCAGCAGCGATGACACATACTGAGATTACAACTGAAATTGTTAACAAACAACATCCAATGAATGTAACCTGTTTGCATTTAATAGTGTCCACCCACTTGAAAAATCCCAAAATTTTCAAAACGTAAGAAAACCATGTACTTGTATACTCATAGCCAGCTAGGCATGGGGCCAAATTGAACGTCTTTTCCTAGAGGTGTGCAAGAAATGTCAATGTCTGTGAGTAAGGATGGAGAGCACAGGATTGTGAAGACTAGGACACTTAAGCATTTGTTTAAGCCCAAGAAAACATCACTGAAATCACTAAGTTTATTCCTGCACTTAACAGTAATTATGCCTTTACATACCAGCTTGACTTCAGATTTGTCTGTAGTACACTGACTATGCAATTTTACCCAGCTCCCATTGATCAGAATCATTGTGCAGCCCTTAGTGGGTCTTGTGATATTAGACATTCCATTAGAGAAACATTGTTTCCATTACCATTTACAATTTGAGCATTTTAAAACTATCATTAAAATATGTAGCTTTAGAACATACTTTTTTTCATATATGTAGCAGATGGCTACTTACTGGCAACTGGTCATGTATTAATTTTCAGAAACCTGTTTCCTGAATATGATTAATGACTCACATCCCTTTCATATCTCTTTATTCCAGATGAAGGGTGTATGGATTCTGAAATTCAAGACATATGCTGAGCACCTAATTGGCTGCCAATGGCTCAAAAATATTATAAGTTCAAAAACTCAGGTAATACAAAGTTTGCTGCCTGGGTATTTCACATTTACAAACCTGTGGTATTCAGGAAATAGAGTTTATATTGATATTTTAGCTATTAGAATTGGTTACATTATGACAAATCAGTAATTTGTTGGAGATCTTTAATGCATTTTGGCTTTTAAAGCAGAAAATACAACATGCTTTGCAATGTCTCTTCCATTATGAAGAAGAAAAATAATTCAAGGATGAACTGAAATTTTCATTGAATGCTTTCCATACAGTCTTTGAAACTGAAAATAATTTTAAAAGCCCAAATTTTGTCAGACATTTGCAGAGAGGCCAGATGTGACTGGAAAAAGTCCCCTGAAACAACCCACCATAAATTAGTAGGAAGATAAGAGCTACCATTATTTCAGCCAGATGAGAACTTCATGTAATTTGTTGTTCTCAAAGTGTGGCCAGTTACACCACTTAGGGAAAGAAATTCCTCTTTTTGTCTCCTATGTTTTTTCTATGATACACCCATTTCTGCCAGTCAGTGAGTGGTTTAGGGACAGACCCCTAAGCATCTGCACATATGTGAGCTTTTTTAATAGCCAGTAAGGGACTATCTCACAGCTAATGAGGAGAATCTTGTTTTCAAGACATTCCTAGTCTGGCACCCCCCAGCATTCTTCAGCCTCTGGTCTACACTCCTGCCATGTGCTGGGTTAAGTAAGTGGGGTTTTTTTGCCTGTTAAATCTGCTGAACCTCCTCATTTTCTTGATGGGAAAGAAGAAAGATGGGAAAGATGGCACCATGTTATTTTTCAGATTGTGCCTGAGCAGAGGAGTATTTGGTATGTGCCACCTGCATCTATACAGGTGCAAAACTTTTTCATCCCTTTTGTTTCTGAATTACTCCTGATAAAGGTGCTTTCATTGGTCACTGGGCTAATAGTTTTGCTGGACTGTCTGCAATGACTTGCAGAACTTTTTTAACTGACAGTTGGTATAGACATGATGGTGAGTCTAGAGTTAGATTTCTCCCTGTTTTATGCTTGCTGACAATGAATTTTATTTTCCTTCTATGTAGTACACATGTGAAACTTTGGTCCAGTTTCAGGTATTACAGAGATTTTAATGTACTGTATGACAAGTTGGTTGAGACTGACAAAACTAGTAGAAACACTTCAGACTTTTATTTTACACATCCTCAAACTGTTAATCCATTAAGATATTTATTCTAAACCATTCTATTTTATTTAGAATAAAATAATTTATTCTAAATTATTTTATTTCGAACATTCCAGCAGAAGTTTTGATGACATTCCTACTGAGAATTATTGAGAACAATATTTCTTAGGAACAAATCAGTCCAATATAGAAATGTGAGAAACTTTACCTGTTAATATCAGTGAATCACCATTTTAGAAGTTTTGATCATCTACTGTAATACTCATAACGGAATTTACATTGCTGACTCAAAAGTGAAAGGCTCTGATGAACCTCAATGCCTAAAATTTTTTAGTTAAGCAGTTTCATAGATATTTATAAAATAAATTGGTCTTAAATTATTTATTTATTATCCACTATTAAAACACTTGAAACAACACTGACATCTGTTTCAACGTTTTTGGTAGCCAAAATAATGCATTAGTGTGCATGAATAACTCAGTGGTGTGAGACTCAGGTAACCAAAGGACACTCTCTAGGTGTGTCAAACAGCAAGTTATGACAACAGCTGCATAAAGTTTGCTTTGAGCTTGTTCAACCAAATGATTTTTTGAGCAAAGAGCACCCACCATCAGAGGCAGCTACTGCCTGGCAGTGAAGCTGTTCACTCATTAGTTAAAAATGCCTAACTAACACCTAAACTGCAAATACCATGCATGTCAGTACTGCCAACTCATCTGCGTGTTTTACTAATTATCTAGAAATCTAGTGTTTTCTTATATTTGTAGAGATAATTCTTGATATTTATCTCATTTCTGGCAAAAAGTGGCAATGTAGGAGTAACTGCTTTCAGGCAGATGATTTATCAAATTATGCTGCTTACACATGAATTATATGGAACCAGTCTGGATTACATTTGCTCATGTCCATATTCATGACCTTCCAGTTGCCGAGTTTACAAACTTTCATAAACCAAAGACTAATTTCTAATTCAAATCAGTAGTGTGAAGGCCTGGAAAGTTCAGAAATGGGAGAGAACTTAAGAAAGTCCAAGACATATAGAAAGTGGCTGAGGTCCTTCAGTAGGTGGCACACTTCCCTCTCAATCAGTTGAGAAGGAAAGTATTTGCAGGATGCTTGGGGCGCTTGCCTGTGGGAAGATTCCAGGGATGCAAAACCAGGAAGGTAGCCAATGTGGTTAGGAAGGTTCCCATGGCATGTGCCAGAGGAGTTATGGAGATAGGATAATGTGGTGAAATTCTAGATAGCTGCAAGTTAGTTAATGCAATTTTTCTCATCCAAAGTGCTCCCTGCCATTTTGAGATATCTTTACTCTGTTTTCAAGATGTCACTAATCACTGTTAAGAGTGGTCTGCTCCTCTGCTCTCTCCAGCCCATACATGAAATTCTCTATGCATGAAGCACTGGAGGTTTCTTTGAATAGGAAGATGATGTAAAAGAGTTGACTGTTTGAGAAGAATGCTAAATGAAAGGCTATCAGGGCTAATGGGAATAAAAATAGGCAAGCTTTTAGAAAATTAAGTCACTTAATAGTTCAGGTTATATATAACTCAGAAGTTGCTAAATCATGCCATGCTTTTGGCAGGCTCTTACTTCAGTTGTTCCTATAAAAAATGGGGCAGGGTGAGGGGGAGAATTGAGTCCTGTATACAAAACCTGCAGGAGCTAATACTTTATATTTAACGAGAAATAACCAGTGCTTAGTAACATGTTCCACTTGTCAACAAGGCAAAATATTTTTTCCAAATCCCTAAAAGTTTTTAAAAAACTTAATTGGGTTGTGATGTTAAAAAGGGCAAGCAAAGAGAACTTACAAGCTTTATTTATCTCACATGAGAAGTGCACATAATCCCTTGCCTGAGTTTCTAGTCAGCAGCATAGATTTTCCTATTCAGCTAGTCAATTAGCTATGAAAAAAAATTAAAATGAGTAAAAGTAATCAAATTTTATTTAAAAAAAATTTTCCCAGGATTCATGGGCTTTAAAAAAATGTTCCCATGAAAGGGCATAATTTCAGAAAATTCTGCCTTTTTCATTTTTTCACCCTCTTCCAAGGTCAAGTGATGACATGTTGTTATCAAGTTGTTGATGCACACAGCATGTTAGTTCTGCATCTGGAAATACTTTATTTAGAAAAAAATAACTATTTTTTTTTTTTGTGAGGAAATCTCAAGATAGCAGAAAAATATTTTTCCTTCAGGAAATACAGCCATTTGTTCATTACCAGGCAAACAGGACTCCCCTTCCTTTGGGCCCTCTGCCAGAGTTATTTACACACAGGCTTGTTCAAGCTAACCACCTTGGCTTCGTGCTCCTTCACACCATTTGATACTGTATGAGATTGGAGCTGTTGTGGATAAAGAAGTGCTTCACTGTGACTCCTTTGTGTTCTGTGGAGGAGTCATGGGCACACTCCCCTATGAGGAAAGATTACCCTTGTTTATGTGGGAGAGTAGACAAACAAGATACAGCAGCCTGGATTCAAGGAACACATAGGAAGAGGTGTTGAGAGGGTGAAATGGCAGTGTCTTTTTCTCTCATACGATAAGATGGCACTTGAGCAAAAGGAAAGCAATGTGTAGAAATGAGAAAGTGGAATGCTGTGGCTGGAAATGCATTTTATGGTATTAAATGACCAAATGATATGTGAAACTCATAGCTGCTAGTTATCTCTATGAAGAGCTTGAGATGGTCAGTAGAAGGTAGGTAGCTCCTAACATAAAAAATCAGTTACCTGAATTAGTACTGCTCTTCAAATGGATTTTGTGATGCATTTGACATCCTAAGTAAAGTCAGAGGCAAACGCAGCCCTTTTAGTACTCTAGCCAATTCTTCTGATCCATCTGGGTCTCCCTTCTTTCCCACGGTCCTTGCTGGCCCCAGAGCCACTGGATGTGCCCTCTCAGGCTCTCCTTGGCAGGGTCTGGTGGCTGGGACCCTCACTCTCACAGGCCATTCATCATCCAGCACCCAGCTCAGGGCCCTTCTCTCTCTGATGAGCAGAGAAACAGCAGGTCAGAAAAATGAGAGAAGAAGTATGGCAGGAAGCTCCTGTATAAATAAGGACAACATGTTTTAAATATCATTGGTAGGAAACTTCTAGTATTTATTGATGAGGAAAGCCATTCACAGGCAGTTTCACATAGATTTTCTAATTTAATCAAACCTTAAGAAAGAGGATCTAAACAGCAAAATAACACCATTAATTTTGTTTTGCACTCCTAACCTCTGAGACTTTCAGAAAATTGGATACATTTGGTCCATTTTGCTTTACACTGCTCACAGTGAAACAGTAAAGAGGTATCAATGCCTTATATAAAGGAATTATCCCTTTTCTGCAGTTCTATCTGTAACAACTTTGTGAAGAATAGTAATGAGCTTGTGGGTACAGGTTTGGAGACAAAGTAATTTTTTTCTTAAGAAAGGATGAATTCTTTTAAAATCATTAGCTATTTTAGGAATGAATGGTTGTTTAACATTTCAATTCAATTGCACTATTATAGAAAAATTATGTAATGCTTTCTCCTATCTACTTTGAGAGCAGCACAGTTTACAAAACTGATGGATTCTGTGTGCTCTGAGATTAAACCAAATTTTCAGAATAATTTATAGCATTTAATAATCTGTGAACATTATTGCTGAATATTATCACTGTATGTTGTGTTTGCTGTGAGCTGCAGCTGTGATGGCCAAGGTGCTTTCCAAGCATCAAGAATTACTTATTTTTTGATGAATCTGCAAAATCTATATTTAAATAACAGCTGTAAATCTTACATCTGAGAGCTCCCTTAGTTATCTTCTTTGTTAAAGTGATAGTTTTATTAAATGCTGGGTGTAAACACAGAAAAAAAATCTAGAGGGAAATGATAGGATGGTATGAAGCAAGGACATCACTATTAAGTTATGTTGTTGCCACGAGTAGGTGAGAGAAAATGATTCAGACGTCTGATGCCTCTCTGCGGAGTCACTGGGAGGAAAACTACCCTGGCATCCCAGCTGCAGTCCCCTGTGGCACACTGCTCCTGCCTCATGCTCCCCGTGGGAGGGGAGAGGAGCATCAGTGGGGGATGAAGGGTCAGTCTGTACTCAGTTACACCCACTCCCCTACAGTGTGCACAAACAGGGAGAGGGCTGAAGGAGCCCTGGGAGGATCTCTGTGCCTCTTTGCCTGGGGAAGTCTCCTCCAAGCTAAGGACCCTTGCAGCTGCAAGTTGTGCAGCTTGTCAAAACCTGCTCTGGGACTTGAGCCAGACAAATTTTGTAGAACAGTGAGGGTCTCTGAGCACAGGTATAGCTTCACTCTCTCACTCCTGGAAGCACCAAAGTGCTGAAGAGTTGTAGCTCCAGCACATACCTTGTAGAGCCACAGTGAAGGAAATGGCTGTGGCTCAGATGGTGCAATACTAAGAGAATGTGGGAAAGCACACACAGTATAGCTTCTTGAGGTAACCAATGTAATTGGAAAAAGACCCTTATTTTGAAAGGCATTATGGAGAAGCATTTTTTACTTTGCTTTGAGACTGATTGTAAATAAATTCCTATTTTGGACACTGAGTCTTGTTGCAGTACCTTCTGTGGGCTGGACAGTAAAAATGAACTTCTGAATTCTTGCGAGAGGGAGGAGACAGGATGACAACCCTGGGCATACACAAAGAAGTCAAAGGTGCTGGTCAGGAGTCTGCAGCCTCTCAGAGGGGAAGGCACTGGCAGCCATAATCTGGGGGCAGAGGTAAATGCTGCTGTTGTAGAAAACAGCAGGATGGGAAAACCTCATTTTGAAACAAATCCTAAGCACTCCCATTGACTTATTCTGACATGACATCAAATAAAGATCACAAGCCCAAAGTCAATATGTTTGCTCAGACAGAATAATTCCAGTCAAATAATACTCAGTGTCAGGAATGACAGTATCACTTACACCAAGATCAAGAAAACAGACATGCTCACAGACCCAACAAGAGCAAAACCCTCTTTGTTCAGCCCTCTCAGCATAGAACATGCTTGTAGGAGCAAGCCTTATTTGTAAAATAAGTAATAATTTATCATTAAATTATGGTCACATGATATTGTGCTTATATAACTTGAGGGAAACCCCAAGAATTCCCAAGACTCTCCTGCACCTCCTGGATTGAGCAAAATGAAGCACTAGGAATCTGACTCAGAGATCACCAAAATTAACAGGGGCCAAGGACCACAGTAGCATGAAAAGATTTTTATTAATACATTCTATGCCCTTCTGTGTCCCTGTATTGCAAGCTCTGAGCACTGAATTGTTATTAGTCTCTAAAATATGCAGGAACAATTTAAAATTCTTAGTTACTAAAATTATGAAATAATGGTTTTATTTACTCTGGCATCTGTCATAAGAACCATTGTTTTCAGGATTTATGTATAAACTTTTTCCTTTTCATCCATGAGACCGATTTTTTTCTTGATTTCAGTCAAAAGAATAATCTCAGATGCCAAGTATGACTTTCGATGTCACCGTGACGGTGCTGCGAGTTGGCATCACTTCGAATCAACTTCCAGTAGCCTGTAAACGGGGCTGAATGGATTCCCCAAAAGAAAATTTACTCTGAAAAGTAGGTGAAGACATGCTGTCAAAAACCCAGCGGGCGCGGGTGCCACGGCAAAGCCAAACCAGGCGAGGCCAGGCAGGGGACCCCCGCACTGCCGGAGCGGCCGGGAGAGGGACCCAGCCGGTTGAGCTTCACTCCGAGCAGCCGTGGCAAATCTCAGGAATACAAACACCGTTCCCCGGAATCGCGCTCAGGCTTAACTAACTCAAAGACCGTGTGAGCGGCAGGACCCGGGGCGTGTGTCGGTGCGAGACCAAGGCCGGGTCCCGCTTCGGCGAAGGTTCCGAAAACCCGTGGTGCGTTCCCGACCACCGCGGAAGGGCGGTGGGATGTCTCAAGGAAGCACGGGCACCGCCTCGCCCGGCCGGGAGGGCATTTCCCCTGCAGCGCCGCCCTGCCCCGGGGCCGGGCGCTGCTCCCCGTGAGCGGCGGCGGGGGGTGCGAGCCCCGTTACCCGGCGCGGGTCGCTCCCGGGGCCGGCGCTCCGCTCCGCTCGGCCGCGGCGCGGACGGCGAGCGGGTGTTGCAATAAATGCGTCTGTCTGCGGCACAGCCCGGGGCGGCGCGGCGGGCTCCCTGCCCTCCGGGGCCCCGCGCTGAGGGGTGAGCGAGGGTCGGGGTGGTCCCCGCCCCGGGGAGATCCGGCTACGGCTGCGAAGCCGGGGCCGGCGGCCGGCACGGGGAGCCCCGGCGGTGCATTGTTCTCCTTGACAGATAACGTGATCTCGGCCAGGCGAGAGCGAGGGGGTGGAGGGGCCGGGGGAGGGAGAGAAAGGAAGCGGAGGGAGGGGAGGGGGCAGGAGGATCCCGCGTCCTCAGAGGAAATTCTCAGGCCGGGAGGACGCGCGGCTTGCGCACGGCAAGTCGGGACTGGCTCTCCTGGGAGTTCCCTCGGCGGGGAGGGGGAGGGGAGCGGCGATCTCCGCCGGCGGGGAGAGGCCGCGGCTTCGCCCTGCGAGGCCCTGCCTTCCCGGCGAGGAGCTCCCGCGGCTCCCGCCCCGCGCAGCTCCCAGGGCGGGCAGCGCCCAGCACCGCGCCCGGAGCGCTCCCGCCGCCGCGCGGGGGGACCCGGTGACGTCACGGGCGGCGCGCTCCCCGCGCTCGCTGCGCGCTCGCCGCCCCGTAACTTCTGTTCTGGGAAGTGGTGCCAGGAATAGCCCGGCGGAGCCGCCTGCAGCGCGGAGCGCTCCCTCCCGCCGCGGCCAGGGCGGGCTGCGGCTCCCGGGCCTCCGCCTCTCCCCCGTGCAACACCAGCCCCTCCGCCACTGTCAGGGAGATGGTGATGAGCCTTTCCAAAAAGAGGGAGAGGAATGACCTGCCTTAAGATAAACGCGTGAAGCGGGCGCCCCTTGGCCGCTGGAATATCTCTGTCTGTCTTTATATATAAAGAAGCACCGCGAGCCGCCTCACTCCGGGCGAGCCCTTAGCAAAGGAGCAACACGAGCTACCGGCGGGATCAGCAGCAGCAGCAGCAACAACAACAACAACAAGGGCACCGGGAGGGCTTCCCTCCTTCCTCCTCGGTGATTTCCCAGGTGAGCAGCACCGGCTGCTGCGGGCAGCCCCCTCCTCCCTGCCCGCCGCTCGCTCCCTGTCACCGGCACCAGCTGACAGCCGCGCCGGGGCGCGGGGCTCGGGTGCGGGGCTGGGCTCGGGCCGCGGCGGGCAGGGCGCTCCGCGGAGCGCGGGGTCTGTGCCGGCGCTCCGAGCGCCGCCCGGGGCTGCGGGGGTAAATGGAGGGCAAGGCGGCGGGAGGGCGCCGGCGGGGGAAGCCGGCGGGGCTGTAAAACCGCCGGACCGGTAAGTCACCTCTGTGGCGGCGGCTCCGGGCGCTGGCAGGCACCGGCACCGTCCCCGGGGCACCACGGCCGGCGGCCCTTCCCGCTGAGCCGGCGCAGGAGGGGGACACGGCGGGGACAGGCCTTTGTCGGTGACACGCCGTTAGGAAATGTGGGGAATACCCGGCTTGTAAGTGTATGCAGATGAGGAGAAGGCTGCCTTGCGTAATCCCCTCCTGCGGCGGGGAATGGGCATGGTCACCGCCGGGGAGAGGCGCCCGCGGGGGGGCCGACCCGACGGGGCACTCATCGCGGCCTCCGGCGCCCCGGGAGCCGATGGGGGGGCACCGGGGCAGGGGGGGCGCCCGGGGCCACCCGGCGCGGCGGAGGGCAGGGCGCCGGAGTAGCGCAGGGAGGGGATGTGCCCCGGCTGCCAGCGCGGCCCCGCGGGGGTGCCGGACGCGGGGGAAGCGCGCGTGTGTGTGCGGGGACACCCGCACCGCGCCGGGGTGCGTGTGCGGGAGTGCGTGTGCGCGCTGCGCCGCGGTGACTGTTCCCTGAAGTGGGTGGGACGTTGGCCCGTTCCGGGAATGTTCCATGACGTGTAAACGCCACAGGAAGGGGGTTAACGAGGGGCTCGGCCGGGGCCGCCGCCGGGTCCCTCCCTTTCTCCCTCCCTCGGTCCCCCCGCCCGCCGGCGGGGCTGCCGCGGGGGCCGGCGGGGGCACGATCCCTTATGTAATGCGGGGTACGTGTGCGGCCGGCGGGGATTATGTAAGCGGCACATCCGCGCCTGTCGCATAGGCTGTGGCATAGGATAGAGCACCGCACGCCGGGAGGCGGGCAGGGGCGGCGAGCTGCCCCGCCGCGTCCCCGCCGTGTCCCCGCCGCCGGGGTCAAGCGGCGCGGGGGAGGCGGGGGAAAGCCCCGGGTTATCCCGGGTCATGCCCCGCAGCCCGCCCCGACCTTCCTGCCCGGGGCTGGCGCGCCGCCGCACGGCCTTCCCCTCGTGAGAGGGAGCCCGGGGCGGAGGGGACGGAGGGTGGCGGTGTCCCCAAGAACTCCGGCCGCGGGTGGGGAAGCCGATGGGAGGCCCCGCCGCCCCAGCACGCCTGGCCCGGGGTCCCGGCCGGCCGCCGGCCAGCACATCTTGTCTCCGTGGGCAGGCGGCCGGGGCTCGCCCCGGGACAACGATAAACCTCCTCAGAGCTTAATTTCCCGGAAAAGGGTTCTGTTTTTCGTATTAGTTGGCACTAATGGTCAAACTCTTATTTTTTTTTTATTTTTTTTTTAATATGATAGTTGCAGAAATGAAACTTCTGCTGAAACACTAAAGTGTTTCGGTTTTTAAAGCAATAATTCTTAAAAACCTTTTTGAACTAAAGTAATCGAAATACTAATGAGTTTCAGCAGAAATATTTAGCTAAATAGTTTCTCTTGAGTCTCATTTTAAAGTGAAGCCTACTTTAATATTGAATCTGTCTGGGTTTGTATTATTAAATAATAGAGGGGGCACTAAACGTTTTTTGCTGACTTAGTCAAGGGTGTCACTTTATTTTTTTTTTCTTCTAATGAATTTATACTGAGAGCTATTACGAAAGAAGTAAACAAAGTGGTCAGGGTGGCAGAGGAGAAGCATTGCTGGCGAGGTCTGTATTCCTGTGCTTCCCGGAGCTGTGTTCGTGCAGCTCCCAGCGCAAGGGGGCTCCGGTCGTCATCGGCAGGAGTTCTGGGGACACCGGCTAATTGGAGTAATTACTAGATTAAAGAACTACTGGTCTAACGAGGTACAAATTCAGTGGGCCCAGGTTTAAGTTCTGTTGTTGTTGTGGATTACCACTGACTACCAGAGGAATTTGATCCTCAGGTTATCAGGACACGGTGTGGAATCCTCAATATTTTGATAGTGAAGATGATATACAGACGTGCTGAAAAAGTGCATCTGTTTTTCAAAGATAGGAGAGTCTCTGCCTGTTGGATTTGAGGCACGTGGGCATATTTAGATAGATGCAGTGTATCCTGGGGTTTATATTTATTTATACTTAGCTGTTAAATCTATCTTGATCCTTCCACTCAGGAGATGTTTCTGAAACTTCAGGTATGGATTATCTGAAACTTATTTTTTTTTTTTTTTGCTTTGTCTCATTTCTCAAAAAATTAAATGTTATAGAATAGGCTGAGAGGGTTTTTCATGTGATTTTTAAGAAGTCACTACTGTCATCTGCAAAAGTATTGAAGATTCCTGTGGTTTTCAGCTGTGCAAAGGCAGCAGTGATACGGTACGAAATCAGTGTGTTATTACTTTTGTTGATTGAATAATCCGCATTTTTAATGTTTTGTATCTGTTGTGTTGATGTTATTTTCCAGTGGCTGTTGGGCATAGCAGTTCTATGTGTCCTGACTGAAGTGACTTCTTAAAACCTCACTGCTGTGGATTAGGATAGAATTGAGCAGCACTTGTCCCAAAACACAAATGTAGAGGACTTTTAATTGTGTATCTAAGTCCAATTGTGTGGCAACAGTGCAGAATGCTTCTTTATAAAGGCAGATTATTAGATTCTCAAGTGACTAGATTGCCTCATATGTGAGATCTGTTTACAAACCTTCTTGTTACTATGAAGACAAAACAGAGAGCCATATGCATTCATGTGGTCCTTGCTGAATAATGGTACATGTGTCTACTTGAGTGTTTGGCAGTATATCATGTTTAGTTTATGTGGTGGCACCCTACAAGGCTATTCTTTTTTGACTTTTAACTATTTCTAATACCATTGGCTGTATTCAGTTGTGTGAGCAAATTTATGACCCTGGTCTGCATGTTTGTAACTAAGCTGGACGTTTCTAAAGCAGGACATTTCTCATGGAGCATTTTGCCAAATTTCTTTGCTTATTTATTTAGGAGCTTTTTAAAAAAGAATAAAGGTGAATTGGATTTAAACAGAAGTGAAAGTAGCGAGTACCATTTTGTATGTCCCTCTGCTCATCATTTTTGGTCAACAGCAGGGGCAGTTACTGTTACTGCTTTTGTAATTTAACCATATTGGGTAAGGTAGTGGGAATATAGGAGCTGTGTGCCTGGCAGAAGTGGTTTACTTAGTGAAATACTGCAATACTTACCCATCAAAGAGAGGAATGCTTGCTATTTAAGAGTATTCCTGTATACAAGTCATAGTGATGTATAAGTCACAGTAATATGACTTGGGTTATGAAATATGGCTTGCCATCCTTCAAATTTGAGTGTGGTGGGGTTTATAATAAGCTGTGGTTGGTTATATTGATAGTTATCTGTACAGCTCAGCAAGTACTACCTGCTTGTAGTTGATTCTGCCTAAGGATTGCAGGTAAATCACCAGAGCTGAGTACTGACTTCCTCAGTCCCATCACAGATCAGGCCCATGAAAAGTTGGTTCTTCATGTCAGTGGTCTTCACACAGGGTAAAGAGAAAATGTTTTATCTGTTTTACCTCAGACTGTCAGTATGTGGTTTTAAATTATTGGTCCTCCAAGCAGGAGGAGTGCATAATTATTATTATTCTTACAGGTTAAAGGCTTCAGGAAGAGTTAATTGTTAATACTTTTGGGAGTTGAACAGGAGTGTTGAGTGCAGAGGCTGCATACCTTTGGTATTTGAAAAAGGTCTGATAAGTTACGAGGAAACTGCTTTAAAAATTCTTTTTTTTTTAAAGAGGCACGTTATTTTTTCTCAAGATTTCTTAAACAGCATCTCTGAAGTAGTATGCTACAGATTACATATTTTTGAAGTTATTTGTCTTTCTTCTGTAGTTTAACCATTTGTTTGTTGGATTTTTTTTTGTTTGGTTGAGTATTTTGGGTTTTTTTGTTTCCCTTCAATAGACTATCTATCAGTTGCTAAAGAAATGAAGAAACAGCAAGGGGAAGTGTAAGCTAGATGGAAAATAGAGAATGGTATTTTTCACATATTCAGTCATCAATTTGGGATGCTACATTTAAATAAAGCAGCACAGAATTATGATAGAACAATGAAAGTTTCAAGCTGGTTGTGCGGCTTGAATGTGCCATTCTGATACGAAATAGCAGCTTTGTACAGCCTTCTTTCTCTACTGGGTGCTTAAAAATTTTTGTAAGACTTGTAATGACTCCCCTATTTCAACAGAAAATATTAAAAAGCAGTTCATTGCAGCCATATTTTTAATTCTCAAGTGAAATTAGGACTTGTGAAAATGCTGGTCTGTCAGCCTGAGAGAAAAAATTCACTGTAAATAGAAATATTAGAAGATTTTCCATGACAACCAAGTAGCAAACCCCTGTTTAGACTTCAAGAAATCATTAGTGAAATTAAAAAATATGTTAATGTCTGGAAAAATCTGGGGTTTTTAAAACTTTTTTTCTTTTTACAGAAATAGCAAGTGGGAGGTACCATGGATGTTTTATTTCACCATTCTGCTTTGTTCACAGATTAAACAATTGGCTTTACCCTCCCTACTGATTTGTAGTAGGTTGTCCTCAGTAAGGTTTGTCCCTGAGAACTCTCTTTCCAAAGCTATGAGTGTGGAAAAGGTGGGGGAGGATGTAGGTAGGGGGAACAATCTTATACAGTGTTTCAAAATCCCCAGTGTAAGAATAAGACATTCAAGTACCATATGCAATTTTATTTGTCAGGAATTGCTTGCCTTTTTTTATTGTCTTGTGATTAAATTCTTACCGTCATTGATATGGTCTAAACATAAAAGCTCCTTCTTGCTCCAAGGAAGTATTGTGGATTTATTTGTCTTTCAGGGACATTCTGTGCATCTGCAGAATGGTCACTCTGTTTCCTGTGTGACAGGGTGTATATATATATATATATATATATATGTCTCTTTTACTGTTTTTTGAACCTGGATATCGCCTTTTACTTGAATAAGCAAAAACCTGTGCATGCTTTTTCCCCCCTTCACTTTCTCTGGATGGGAGTCTCAGGGCATACCTACCCAAAAGTGTACCTACCACTTGAGTGGTTTTCTGGAAGTAATGCCGTGCATAAATATGGATTTAATTATCTGATGTAAATTCCCCTGGCACATGGTTATTCTGATATGGCCAGTTTGTATAGTGATAATATCCCCTTTTTTTGGGTTTGTTTATGCACATTCTATCGCTGTCAGTTGGTCTCAGCAGAAAAGTTCCTTCTAAGTATGACATGGTAACCACAGGTAATGTAATAATGTAGTAGGTAGTGAGTTTATGGCCACTTCATGTACACATGGGTTTGTTTTGTTGCATCTCAATTTGTCTTTTACAGAAAATTATTTTCTTGTTTTTTTATTTTTTTTCTTTTTCTGATAGTCGATAGTTCTGCCCTAATGCACTTACAGAGTCTGAAAAATGCAACTCATGTACAAGAAATTTGATCCTGCACACTCAAAAAAAGAATAGTAAAGAATACATCTGTTTTTAAATTAGAAAGTTCACTTAATTGCAACTGAAGTAACTTGTAATAAACTGCTGTAGCTCTGGCTAAAATCTTTGATTTATGTAAGGTGCAAAAAAGGCGGGGAAAAGAATGTGCAGTCTTTTTTGAAAGGCTTAGCTTAACTCCTGTTGTGTCGTACAGGAGAAATTCAAGGTTTCACTGCTACAGAAAGTTTCTCTTTCAGGTAGTTATTGGAAATTCCTTACAAAGAAAAGCAGTTAGGTAATTTGCATATATAGTTCAGTTTAATAGAACAGTGAAAACTAGAGGAGCGAATGGGAATTGATATTACAGTGTCAGGTGA